ACAACATGATAACTGTTAATCTGGCCAACAGCACGAAACTAACAAATCCCTATTCTCATGGAGTTCACAACCTTGTGTACTATTGGGGAAGAGCGCCAACAATAAAGAAAAAAAATAAAGGGTACGTTACATGGTGACTTGTGCTATGAAACAATTTTTGAGCATCGCAATGAGATGAAAGTGCATTGACTGGAAGATCAGAGAGGGTTGTCAAATAACCTAGGATCTGGGGCCCAAATAAGAAGGCAGAGATCCAGCCTCACCAGGTATTCAATCACTCAGAACGAAAATATGAGGTACTCAGTCACTCAGAGTGAAAATATATGCATCTGCTCATCACCACCTTTTGCATTTTCATGTTTCCGTTTGATTTTCCTTCTTCCTAAAGAATCATCTTGCTTTATTTCCGTGGAGATCACCTTTGGTTCCCTGGATATTTCATCATTTCCAGAAAGATGTTATTTTTCAAGGCAGAATTTTTCCATTTGAGATTCTCCTGCCTCAGTCTTCTGGAAGAGTATAATTATGAGACAGACACCATACCTCAAAACCATGAAGGACGTTCCTAATGAGCAAAGAATGATCAGCTAAGAATGGAGTAGTAACTTGGAAATTAAGAACATTTTCTGCCCTTCCAGAGGACCTGAGTTTGGTCCCCAGCTCTCACATGGTGGCTCACAATCATCCATAACTTCAGATCTAAGTATCAGAGAATCAGGCACCTTCTTCTGACTTCCTCAGGCAAGTATGTGATAGCCATACAAAGATAAAATAAATGAATCTTTTAAAATATTATTCTTAAATTGTATATATCCTTAATGTTAAAAAAATGGCATTTACTTCCATCACTTTGGGGAGTTTCTTCTGGAGGTACTCAATCCTTGGGGATTGAACCCAAGGGCCTCAGACAAGCTAGTAAGCATGTGGCCATTGATCTATATCCCAGTCCTTTGGATAGTTTGCTTTAGTGTGTATGCTCATGTGTGTATGCACGTGTTTGTCTGTGTATGTATATTCATGTGTATGTAGAAGCAATTTGTTGTCTCCTTCACTAATTCTCCACTTCTTTAACAGAACAAAGTTTGTTGAGTATATTGCAATGGGGCAGAAGACTTGGCAGTAGTTAACAGTATCACCAGCAGCCTCCATCTTATTATATAAGACAGAGTCTCTCACTGAACTTGGAAGTTGCAAATCTGACTACACTGACTGGCCAGCAGACCCCAGGGAACCTCATGTTTCCCTTCCCAGTTCTGGGATTATAGTCACACACCATTGCGCACTCAGATTTTCACATGGGTTCTGGTGATCGGAACTCAGGTCCTTATGTTTGTGCAGCAAGCACTTTAACAACTGAGTCATCTCCATATGCCCCCCTTTGTGTTCTTTGAGACAATCTCACTGAGTTAACCACATGCCTGTGGACTCATTCAGTACCCTAAGTAGTCATTGAATTTGCAATCCTCCTGTCTCATCCTCACAAATAGCTGAAATTACTAATTCCTCCTTTCTGGCCTGGCCAGTCATCCTATAGAGTTTCATCTTTCTTCATGGGAGTTCTTTTCTCCTGTTCCTGGTGCTGTATCTTTAATATACACTACTCATTTTCTCTCTGAGAACTCATTACTTACTTTTAATTTTTTTTGTTTGTTTTTCATGACAGGGTTTTGTTGTGTAGCTTTGGAGCCTGTCCTGGAACTCGAACTCACAGAGATACCTGTCTCTGCCTCCTGAGTGCTGAGATTTAAGGTTGTGCACCACCATTGCCTGGCTAATTTTATTTTAATTGGTTATCTGCACATATTTGAAGGTCAGAGGATGACTTGTGTGAGTTAACTCTTTCCTTCCACCATACCAATCCCACATAGTGAACTTCAGCCATCAGATTAGGCAGCAAGCACCTTTACATGCTGAGTTTTCCCACCAGCCCATCACTCACTTTTTCCCATTATTTCCTTTACCAAGTTTTCAGTGCAAGGATGTTTAATGACGACTATGCTCCATGTCTCACCACATCTGCACCTACTTAGTAGATGTTCTGGCTCAGTTGAGCAGATAGTCTTACCTGTCCCCTAAAACTAAGAACTACACCATTTTGTTTAGTATTTCTGTTAAAACCCTACAGTCTAGTTGGAGTGAGCACAAGAGAAAGCAGTGCCCAATGAAGTGCAATGGGGAATGAGGCAAAGGTAAGGCTGGAGGCTGAAACTCCTGAAGGAATCATCTCCAGGGTAAACTGTGTTCAAAGATGGTCAAGTCCCCAAGCCTGGGACAAAAACGTGACTTTCCCTGTCCATTTGCTCCTCATTCTCTTTTTCTCCTAAGCACTTCATCTTATTCTCTCTGCCCCCTCTCATTCTCCTTAGGCTCACCTCACTTCTACGGCCTTTGCAGCATAGCATCCAGGAAGAGTCAAATGTTCAGCCAGGCAGTGGTGCACACACCTTTAATCCCAGCACTCGGGAGGCAGAGGCAGGCAGATGTCTGAGTTTGAGGCCAGCCTGGTCTGCAGAGCTAGTTCTAGGAGAGTTAGGGCTGTTACAAAGAGAAACCCTGCCTCAAAAAACAAGAGAGACAAATGTTGAGATTTTTATCATATGACACCTTAAATCTCAAATGGCCATGGACTCAAACCATCAACCAAAATCAACTTCTTTTGCCTTGGGTCATAGCAATGGAAAGCTACCATCAGTCAGTGAGAACAGCAGGGGACATTTCAACAGAAAGTAGAGGGACTGTGGAGGCTGAAGGCACACATGTCAGAGGAAGCCACAGGAATTTCAAGATCAGAACATAAGATTTATCAAAATATGTTTCAAAATCTGTTAGAATCAGAAATAATTGTGGTGCAAATAATTCAGATGCAGAGGCAGGAAAAGAACACATTAAGATTTGTAGATGATGAGCCTAAAGTATGGGGCTATAGCTAAAAACAATGGGTATCTGAGTCAAATCTGTGTTTTAGAGAGAATGGACAGAGATGGCAGTCTAGACGGGGCAAAAATTAGAAGAAAAAAAGCAGTCAGTCACCTAGGACAGGACACAGTGGGCACAGCTGAGACTGCAGATAGGAAACTGAAACAGCAATTCACATACCTGAATGGAAGTGGACTGGGCAGGGTTGAGTTGGGGACGGAGGGAAGACAAGCAAACAGGCAATGATGAACTATAAATAAATAATCTGGAATCAAAATAATAAAAAGGATTCTGGGAGTTTTAGGCAATACTACCGTAGCCTTGACACTCCAGTGCCATGTAAGCATACATAAAAAGTGATAAAGAATTCTTCCAGGGGGTGGGACAGTAGTCTGGAAACTTTGGATGAGGTGCTGGAGAATAGAACCTAGACCTTGTACCTGAACAAGCTAAGCAAGACCTCCATCCTGTAGTACCCTCTTAGCCCTAGATCTTTCTTTTCACTCCCAGTACAGCTTTTAAAATAAGATGCCAGAGTGCTTATGGATTATTGTATATAACACATGGAATTCCTTGGGAGTCCATAAATTGGAGATATGGGACTTCTTTTGGAGTATTAAAATGTAAGATCCACACCATTTTGGCAGTATGATTCTAAATATATTTTTTCACTCTCTTACATAGGCCATATTACCATTTTCTCCAAGAGACATTGCATAAGACCAATAAAAAGCCACCAATTACTTTTTTCCCATAACATTTTTTAAGTGACTATCAAACTCTGCAAAAGAGGGCAAAAAACATTACACCCCAGTTGCCTGAAGCTGTAAGAGTGAGAAGTGAACACAGCATCTTAACACTAGGATGCCACCACTCCTCACCACCGGGCAGTCCTGGAGCCCTGAAGTCTAGACAGACCCTATGTGCCCCAAATTTCTACCTAACACCCTTGAAGCATATCCAGAAATGACCCTTGCCTGAGTCCTTGAACTCCTTTGGTTCCTTCTCTCCTTTAAAGGAACTTCCTCACTATAGGTAATGGACTGAAGCAGAACTCTCATCCTAAATTCTCCTTCCTATCAAGCAATCTTTTCATGTAGAGACGATAAGAAAAAACTAACAATGAACTCAGAGGGTACCTTGAAAACTCGTATGCCCATGGAAACTAATTTCCAACATGTCAAAGAACAAATACCCTTGCCTCTGCTTTATTAGAATTTCTGAAGCCACATGAGACCGTCCTTACACTTGCTCAAGTTCACACTGCCCTGCTGTCTGTAACCCTCAAAGCTGTGAGCAGTGGAATTCTAGGGAACCCAGGATCCAGTGGTTTCCCATGTCCTATTTCCCATGTTCATATTTCAAAGAAATTTTGATTCACATGTTAGCAGAAATCCAGGACACAGGAACCAGGAAACTTCATTTTTCATTACTGAGGATTTTCTTGAATTTTATTATCAAATATTTAATATAAAAGCAATGAACAAGAGTGAGAAAACACAGTAGTTAAAAACACAGACTCTGGAGCCAAACAATTTCAACTGTATGCTTTACTAAATGTGTCCCTTGGGTAAGTTACTCAACATCTCTGCTTCTATCTATCGTCCTGTAAAACTGGGATAACAACAAAGCCTACTTTACAGAGCTATAGGAATTGAACAAACAAGTTAATATTTTTAAAAATATTTAAAAAGCCAAGCACATGGTGAGTGTTTATGTATTTGTAAAACAAAAACTAAACTAAAAAAAAATAATTACTTAACTAGGTTAATTTCTCCATGGATCTAAGAGGTCTTTATTCAAACACATTTTTTAGATGTTACAATAGATGTTTATAAACAATTGTACCCTTACATTGTTCATTCTGTTATCTATATTTCCAGTGTCCACAATTATAATTTATATTGATTGCCTAAAAGAATTATAAACTAAATGCCCAACAATTCATTGATAAGTACCAATGGACACACTAGATTATTAACTATCACTTTGTTTCAAAACTCAGTCTCATATTTCTAGGCAACAGCATTTCTATCTTCTATCCTTAGTGATCTCCTTTACTAATCTTTTCTAAAGAGGTTAACCTTGATCAACAGTAAATACCCCACTCAATACTGCACTAGTTTTTTTTTCTTAAATTCAGATTTAGTATTCCACATTCTATCCCTTAAACAGCACCTAGCCCCTCCCCTGGTAACAGCAAAACCTGTTTCTTTAATTATGCACAAAATGTTAACATAAAGCTTGTCATCTAATAGCCAGGCAGTGTCTCTCCAGCCAAAACACTCTTCATGGCACAAGACTTTCCCCCATAAAAATGTACACTGATCTACCAATAAGAGCTCTTGATGGAATGACTCATTCCCCAATCATGTTCCTCAAATATGGACTCCTTGTGGATCATACAAGAAGCTTCGGAGCTGTCTCTATAATTCCCTGACACTGAATAGGGGCTACATAACTGCCAAAAGGTTTTCCCCAGTCTTTTCACTAATGCCACTCATAAGGTTTCTTCTAAAAAGAGATTTCCTGTTGTATAATAAAGACAGTCTTACTGAATTTTTGATGAAAAACTTCCCTCTCGGTAATACTTGTAGGCTTTTTTCTCCCACTTTTGTATGTTTTCATTGTATGTGGTCAAACACAATAAAAGAAAAGTCTCTGACCAATTCAGTTACAGTTTCTCTTCACTATGATTTCTCTGATGTTGAAGTAAGGCTGAATGACCACTAAAGGCTCTTCCACACTGATTGCATATAAAGCGTTTCTCTCCACTATGCATTCTCTGATGGATAATTAGGGAAGAATTCTTACAAAAAGCTTTTTCACAGTGATTACATTTGTAAGGTTTCTCTCCAGTATGGTTTCTCAAGTGTACAATAAGGGAAGAACTCTCATTAAATGCCTTCCCACATTCATTACACCTGTATGGTTTCTCTCCAGTATGAGTTCTCCGGTGTGCAATAAGGTGAGAGCTACAATTAAAGGATCTTTCACATTGATTACATTTATAGGGTTTCTCACCAGTATGAATTCTCCGATGGGCAACAAGGTGACAGCTCTGACTGAAGGACTTTCCACATTTATTGCATTCATAGGGTTTTTCTCCAGTATGAGTCCTTTGATGCCTCACAAGATGAGCCATCTGGCTACAGGATTTTCCACATTTATTACATTCATAGGGTTTAATTCCAGAATGAATAATTTCATGTTTAGTAAGGGCTGAGCGTTCTCTGAAAGCTTTGCCACATTCTTGACAGTTATAGGGTTTCTCTCCTGTATGAGTTCTCTGGTGAGCAATAAGATGGGAACTCCAACTGAAGGACTTTCCACACTCAGTACATTTATATGGTTTCGCTCCAGAGTGAGTTCGTTCATGTTTACTAAGGGCTGAATAATCCCTAAAAGCCTTTTCACATTCATCACACTTAAAGGGTTTCTCTCCAGTATGCATTCGCATATGGGCAATAAGATGGGAACTCCAGCTAAAAGACTTCCCACATTCAGTACACTCAAAAGGTTTCTCTCCAGTATGAGTTCTCTGATGTCCAATAAGATGAGAGTTCCAGTTGAAAGATTTCCCACATTCATTACATACATAAGGTTTTTCTCCTGTATGAATTCTTGTGTGGACAATAAGATGAGAATTCCAACTGAAGGCTTTCCCACATTTGTTACATTCATAGGGCTTTATTCCAGTGTGAGTCCGTTCATGTTTAGTAAGAGCTGAACGGTTCCTAAAAACTTTTCCGCATTTATCACATTCATAGGGTTTCTCTCCAGTATGAGTTTTCTTATGCTGAATAAGGTAAGAGCTCCAAATAAAAGATGCGCCACATTTGTTATATTCATAGGGCTTCTCTGCCGTGTAAGTGCTTGTATGTTGAGCAAGTAGTGAGTCATACCCAAACACTTTCTCCCAGTCATTGTATTTATATGCTTTTTCTACACTACCAATTTTCTGATGTTCCATGAAAGATGAGAAGTAAAAGATATTCTCATATTCTTTATAGTCATACTGGTTTCCTCCAATTTGACGCCTTGAATGTTCATTAAGTGATGGGCTCTGGTTAAAGATTTGGTGGCATTCCTTATATTCATAGAGTTTTTCTCCTGTATGTATTCCTTTATGATCACCAAAATGTATAATCTGATTTAAAGATTTCACAGCGTCAGTATATTTGAACAGATTATCACCAGTGTGCATTCCTGCAGAGTAAACAGGCTGAAGAGACTGACAGAAAGCTTTGCCATAATCATTATTTTCACAGGTAAACTTATCTGCATACATTATAGCTGAATTACATCTCCAACCTTCAAGATGTGCATCAGGTTTATAGAAATGCTCTAATTGAGAAACTCTCTGAGATGGAACCAAGTTTAAGCTTTGGTTGTACTCTGTGCCAAGTTCACAGACTTCAGAACTTCGTTGAGAAAGTACTTGTTTTCGCATGAAGACCACTTGTCTCATACCTGTACTCTGATTCATGTGATACATTTCTAATTGGTCTTTACATCCCAAAACTCCTAGCCTGGAGAGCCAAGGATCATTCCATATATATCTTTCTAATGCCATGCCATTGGATTGTTCTTCTGCGAAAATATTCTGTGCTGGAACCAATGTTTTGCTTTCAATATTTCTCATCCACTCTGAAACAGAAGCAAGAGAAGCTGTGAATGCATAAAGACCTCAGGATTCACTGAAGAGATTAATTATTCATACTATAGAAAAGGCTACAGTATATTTCATTTTCACATATAGACATGAAAGCCAGAGAAATATCATAATAGAGAATAATGAAAAGTAAACAATTGGTAACTACAAAAGAAAGCACACAGTCACACTAATAAAACTGCTGAGGAGTAGTTTCACATGAAAAGGAACATTTACAGGAAAAAGTAAACTCTGCGGGACTGAGCTACTCAAGCCATGCACATTACCAAACTGGCTTACTTTATGGCTCAGCCTTAGCCAACTCCTGAGAATTTGAAGCAATGAAATGTCATCAATGTTATTACAGTTTTTCATGCTCAGAAACTTGAAGCAAACTGTACCAATTTCTCTAGACAGCTTAGAACTAATGTAATTTCTAGTGAAGATGTGCTTTCTTTCTAGGGCATATGATGTATGAGGAATCTCAGTCATGGTACTACTGCCTATATGACCAACTTCAAATAAGCACACTGAATACTGGACTAAACTCACCTAAGGTTCCTACTACACAATGTCACAGAACATTACAATTTCTTGCTAGAAATTTACAACGTCATTGTGAAAATACCAGCAGAAACTTATATTTGGCTTCCTCTGGACTCTATAATATTGCTTTCTATTCTTCTTACTGTAATAAACCATAATCTTGATGGTAGTGAATTTCAAATCTTGTAAGTCATCTTAGTGAATCAATGCAGCCCTGGATACCCCAGACAAAAGGACAGTAAAGGAAGGGAGGGGAGGAGGGGGGATAGAGGGAGGGAGGGAAGGAGGGAGGGAAGAAGGGAAGAAGGGAGGGAAGGAGGGAGGGGGAAAGAAGGGAGAGAGGGAGGGAAGGAGGGAGGAAGGGCTTAATAAATAAGTATTCAGACCTTTGGCAAATAAAATTTAATTCAGTAAATGAAGTTATAATTTACCTCTGCATTATAATGTCTTTCTGCTTTCCATCTCAGTATTAGAAGGAGGTTATGAGAAAGTATCAACAAAAGATTTTAAGCCAGGATATTATTTATAATAAACTACTACTACAATATGTGTTGTTCCAAAATCCAGTCAAGATTTAAACACATAAGATTTAGCAGCTCGAAGGGAAATCGTATCATAGTTTAAAGAATACCCTAGAGAAGCAATTCCTGTGATCACTATGGAATCATTTTTATAGCAGTGACAAAAGAAATAAACTAGTAAAACAACACAGTGAGTTGAAGTTTGAACATCTGTATTTAAATACTAGCTCTACCACTAATCATAAGAGAACTTTTGTGATGGCTTAATGCCTGTTTCTGAATCCAGCAAAATGCCTGCGTGTGTGTGTGTGTGTGTGTGTGTGTGTGTGTGTGTGTGTGATCAGCAACGTGTCATCATGAGTGGGTTATCAGTCCAATAATCAAGAGAATCTGTTTTGGTTCATATTACTATTATAATGAATTATCACATAATTAGTGAATTACATAATACAGTTCTATTACCTTATAGTTCTAGAAGTCAGCAACCCAGAACAACCATTATTTTATCTGTCTAGGGTTCTCTGAAGACTCATAAGAAAGGCTTGTCTTTGATTTGCCAAATAGGGGAGCACATAGTCCTAACAATTTCTGGCAGGAAATTGAGATAGATCATAGAGTGAGATCAACAATACAATAAACAAAATGATAAAAAGGAAAAACTGAGCAACAACATGCTCACAGAGGCTTTAAGAGTGACTACTCTTTTGGTTGTGAGCCTAGCCTTTAATGACAGTCATCTCAGAGACAACTTCCTGAACAGGACACCAACAGTGCAGATACTAAGATCAACACTTAATAAATGGAATCTCATAAAACTGGAAAATTTCTGTAAGGCAAAGGACACCATCAAAAGGACAAAACAACAGCTCACAGAATGGGAAAAGATCTTCACCAACCCCACATCTGACAGAGGGTTAATTTCCAAAATATATAGGGAACTCAATAAACTCGACATCAACAAACCAAATAATCTAACTTTTAAAATGGGATACAGATCTAAATAGAGAATTCTCAACAGAAGAATCTCAAATGATTGACAAACCTTTAAGGATATGTTCAACATTCTTGGCGATCAGGCAAATGCAAATCAAAATGACTCTGAGACTCCATCTTACAATTGAATAGCTAAGACCAAAAACACAAGTAACAGTTCATGCTGGAGAGGATGTGGGGCAAGAGGAACCTCCTCCATTGCTAGTGGGAGTGCAAACTTGTATAGCCAAGTGATACCACACACAGCAAAATTACATTTTTAATAACATATCTTTATCTGATTTTAAAGATAAAACAGCACTAAAAAGATGACTCAGTGATACCTGCTACCATACCTGACAGCCTGAAAAATTCATAGGATAGAAGGAAAAATTGATCCTGCAAATCATCTTCTGACCTCCATACAGGTGCCTCCATACAGGCACCCACCTACTCCTGCCTACCCACGGCCACATACATACAAACCATTTAAGCTTTAAAAATTCTAACAACTGGAAATACAGAAAAATAAAACATCATTAATTGCAAATGTGTGCTGGTAACATAAAATGCATAAATGTGTAAAAGAGGCCAAACTATACAAAAGTAAAGTTTCTGAATACTAACAAGATAAAACTGGTATTAATCCAGATAAGATTATTATATAGATGTTAATTGTAATTACCAGCACAACCACTAAGACAGTAATAACAACAGCAAAAACTATAGTGAATATGAATCTGAAATAGATTGCATAGGCATATATGGTAGGGTTTAGAGGGAAGAGAGGGAAGGGGAATGGTGTAAAATAAAATAGCAAATTCATAGTGGGGGAATATGAATGCAGCAAAAAAAAAGCCATAATAAAAAAGGAAAAAGGAGTAAAAAATCATCTTGTATTGGGAAACAATAGTAATGTAAGTAAAGAACAGTGAGTATATATAAAATTTCAACTTACACATTTTATGGAGCTTTGACTTTTTTGAATCACGTGAATATACTGCCTATACTCAAAAACTATTTTGTCTGTTGTTTTTGTAAGTGCCTGAAGGCATAGACTACAATTTGGAAATGTAAAAAGTAAATGTTTCAGTAGATAAATAAATGAAAACTTAGAGAAGGTACAGCAAATATGAACAGCAAGCACAGAGCAGACAGAAAGGGAGGCGAACTCGGCACACAACAGCAACCTCATGAGACAGGCTCTGCTCTCAATCCACAGTAGATGGAAAGGAAATAGAAGGAGGAAGAAGAAAGCTCCCTAGATGGGATGCTAACTGTATCAGGAAATAACCCCTCTACCCTTAGCCCATTTATCAAAAAGGAGACCTTTGAGAAGTTCCTCATTCAATGCCAAGGCTTCACCTACCTGGACAAGTACTTTGAGGATATACTTGCTCCACTGACCAAGGATCTTCTCCTTGTTCCAACAGGGAGATGACTTCAGGCTTAGCAATCTGATTCCCTACAGACAGAAGAAAGACATGAAACTTTGGTGACAAAGCTTTGGAGTTGCCAAAGAACTCTACCTTGCCTCTTCCTCCTGCAACTCCTCACTTAAGAGGAATAAGCACATCCTTCTTTCTTTGTATTCTGTAAGTATTAGGAATTTCATCCCTGAATCTCAAAGTTCAAGACCATTTCAGCCCTTCAGAGATACACCATACTACTTTCAAAGAATAGCCGAAGACATTGCAGAGGAAATAGCTTTATTTATTTAGGTAGTTTCTGCCTTACCCACAGAAAGTAGGTGTCCATAGGTCTCCAGCATCACGTCACGGTATAGGGTCCTCTGAACAAGGTCTAGCTTCCCCCATTCTTCTTGGGTGAAGGCCACAGCCACATCCTTGAAAGTCACTGGTTCCTGAAAGAGCATATATGACTCTTCTCAGCCTGTGGCAAACCTTTCCAAATTTTCTAGGGATAGAATGAGGCTGACAAACTTTGAGGAGAAGAGACAAGATATTAAAACCTTACTAGATGCTATCAAGATTCTAGCGAGATATGGTGACTAACTTCAAACCCAGCACTCACGAGGCAGAGGCAGAAGCATCTCTTTGAGTCCAAGACCAGCCTGGTCTACATAGTGAGTTATAGGGCAGCCTGTGCTATGTAGAGAGAACTTATCAAAAAAAAAAACTAAGTAGAAGATTCTACTTGATTTGTGTCAAGTTTAACTGAGTACTACCCAGGGCCCTGCATTTGGGATATGCTTGGGATATACCAGTTTCTGCTGCAGAAACCACAGCAAAAATGTGTTCATCAAAAACTTCAAAAAGCTCCAACATAGAAGGAAACACGCACACACATCACAAATTAAAGTATCAAGAGCCAAAAGAGAAACCTCAAGACAATAAAAGACATAGAGAATCTTCAATATATTCCCCAGTTTATTTATTTATTAGAAACCAATTCTGATAACAATGGCCATTGTGAACAGGAATCCCACCTTGACAACACTCTATTCTCACAGACAGAGGCCGTCTGTGGGCCATAGAGTTTGTGTTAGAAGAATCTTTGCTCCACTATATAGATCTGACCACCCTGATTACAGGAGAAAGTTTGTATTCACTGGTCATGTCCATCAAAGGGCTGGAGTTAAGGGTACGCAAGATGGCCCAGAGCAACCTGGGTGGAGGGAACTGGTTACAGGAGTAAAGAAAAAATAGTTGAATTAGAAAAAAGTCCAAACTGGCTGGCAAAGTGGCGTCCACCTATAATCCCAGTTTCTTTTCAGGGACTGAAGAGGATGAGTTGAGTTCCCAGGTTCAATATGAGCCTGGGCAACACAGTATAAAGATATAGAAACCAGCCATGGAACAGGCCTATAATCCAGGAACTCAGAGCACCAAGGAGAAAGGATCACAGTTTGGAGCCTGGCTGGGTTACCCAGTAAGAACTTGTTTCTAAGCAAACAAAAGCACAAAATCCAATGGGGAAAAGAAAAACAGAACCTAGAAAACCAGAGAAGATGAACACAATGTTAACCTAAGTCTGAGTTTTGCAATTATTATACCTTTTATACTCCTTCTAAGAAATCAATGGGAGACTCCAGTGTCTGGGAACATGGGAGGCTACCTCTGCAGGGCAGTGTGTATGAGTGGTGGATCACAAACCTCATATCCTCTTCTCACTCCTCAGCCCCAACAGCCTATCTACAGGGGCCAAATCCCTAACTGGAATGTGGGTTCCTGGTTACCTCTACCATCGATACACAACCAACCCCAAGACAACTCCAAGACAAACCTATGTGTATCCTGCACCAGATCCACTCTCCCGACCTTTACAGCTCCTGGCTTCTCTGATCTAGATACAGCTGTCCTCACAGTCCTCCTCTGTGTCTGTTTATCACCTCTTACAAACAACTTGTCACCTCTGATCTGAGCTAGCCCTTGCTGCCTACTCTGCAATATACTGACTTTTTTATTCTGCCCGACAGAAATGCACTCATTCTACCTTCATAAAATGATTCACTTAAGACAAAAACTAGTTTCTGTTGCAAAGACTGCCTTATCCTTCAAAACTCGACTCCTGTCTGATTCTGTCGCAAAGATTTCCTTATAACTCCCAAACCCAACTCCTACAGACACCCTGACACTCTCACTGCTGCTGATCTATACTGAAGAATCTGAGGACAATGACACACACTGGTGAATCTTTTCAGCAAGTTCTCCTCAAGATCCCTGCTGCTCTGAGACTAGGAAGCCTGGATGTGATTTCCGCCTCCACCTTCCCAACACAAAGCACCTAAAGTGCTGACTGTACCATACCCCTTCCCAGAAACCCTCCCATCCTTGGTGACAAGGTCAATTCCCTACTGTTCTTGCTTCATATCTTCCCAGATCTGTTGCCTTCAAATTTCCTGCAAACTGACAGAGAGGCATAAAAATCTAAGCACAGTGAACTTTCACAGGGCAGTCATGAAAGGGGCAAGCTGAGAGGCTCTCCAGCCCGTGTCTGTCTCATACTACCTAACCCATGTGGAGTAATAGCAGGGGCCACATGGTGACCACTGCTGTTTGACAAAATTCCAGCATTTCTACATTGCAGATGACAACTCTCCATCATCTTTTAACTTTTATTTTAAAATATTCTCATTATGTGTTACTAGAGTTCCATTATGCCTGTTCCTTTGAGGAATTTTGTGGGGGGTTTAAAGAATGAAAATGTAAACAATGGCAGTCTCTTTAAAGAAGATAATTCTTAGGGGAAAAAAATCCCTGCCACCATGAAACCACATAGTATGAAGACTCTGCACACAGGTACCCCCACTATGCCCTCCTAATTATACAAGGAACAGGAAATTAGAGATTCACTCACTAGACACAATTGACCTCCACAATCCAGATCCAGAGCCTGAGGTCATTAAAGGTAAAAGTTTAGTTAGTAAATATAGAGAAATCAGAATGGTAGCGTACAATGGGGAAAGAGTCTGACATCAGGACCTTCCCTTTTGGGGAACAAATAAGTAAAGGCCTATACAGTAAGATTAAGACACAAAGGAACACTATTAGGAAACACCTCAGTGCTTATACTGCATCATACCCCTTGAGTAATGAAAATTGCTCTTAAATTGTAGTGGGGTGTCTAGTCCCCAAAAGTCCTTTTCCCAAGGTCAGACATTTGGATACAGGCCTCCATTCCCTCAGGGGCTTGAGAAAAGTTCCAGTTTGCAAAAAGGAGTCTTCTCCTTATCTCTGGTGGGAGGAACTTGTGGCCCTTCCCTTGATGTAAGAGGGGTCCTGGTGAAGCTATTGAACCTTTGAGAACAATATTTAGATTCTTACTGAACTTCTTACTTTTGTCTCAGGAAAAATGTTTTAATGAAGTTAATGGCCACTTCCTGTCCTTGAATCCATTGAACACACTTTCAATCTTACCTGTGGCTAAACTATTGAGCATAAAAGGTGTAGTCCCCTGATTCACCGGCAGGATCACATCTATACCCACTCCAACCTCCCCAACCTCCACCCCGGTCAACTCCACATCTTCTCTTTGGGACTTGAATCCCACTAAAACTGTTCTCCAGAAGGGTGGGAGTAGGAACATCTTTCAAAATAGCTTCAACATGATTAACGAAGTCAACACCCACACCCTAGCAACTGATAAACCTGTAGGCTGCCACAAATTCACATCTTACCCTTTTAAATATGTTCAAATGTGAACAGAAGACAGTCTAATAATCAGACACAAGACAAATAAAATTATTAGAGGGTTTCACAAACCCTGATAATAAACAGTGGCCACTGGTGACAACTATCAATAACCACAGAGTCTCGGGTGACAGAAGACTGAGAGATGTGTAATAACGGTATCAGTATGACAACACCTTACAGCTGACAATCCACCCTGTTATCTGAAAAAATATGCCCACTAATGTAAAGAAGGAGGTAGGGGCTAGAGAGAAAGCTCAATTGGTAAAGGGCTTGTCATATAAGCATGAGGACCTACAGTCAATTCCCTGCACCACCGTAAAAAGCAGACTTTGTAACCCTAGCAGTGGGGAGACAGAGACAGGCAGATCCCTGGAGCTAATTGGCCAGCCAGCCTAACCTATCAGCATATCCCAGACAGTGAAAGAACCTGTCTCAAAAATAAAGTTTGTTTTACCCTTAGCAAAGAAAGCTACACAGCTTCGGAACGGCTAGTCTAATTGTTCATTAGAATATATAGAGTTAGGGAATGGTCAAGTGCTTGTTTAAATAGTGTGTGATGTTTTTGTAAGGTCATGACAATGAAGCAATTTTTATTTAAAAATCAACAACAAAACAAACACAGTGGAGTTGGTGAAATGACTCAGCAAGTAAAGGCTTTTACCACCAAGCCTATAAGCTGTGTTCCTATGGCCCTTGGGGTGGAGGCAAAGAACCAGCTCCCAAAAGCTGTCTACATACACTCCCAAAATGAAGGACAAAACACCACTCAAGAATTCTGCACTCTTGTCACATGAATCTGTTAGGCCTCTAGTCCAACTACCTGTCTCCAGGGGGTTGAGGAGATGACACTTAATTGACATCACAAACGCTCAATCAGGAAAGGAAGAAGCCAGGGAAATCTGGTCTCTTCAGGTAAAAAGTACAAGCGATGTGAGTGCCTGGTTTTGACCCTGATTTTACCAACTATAAGACTGTGATGTGGTGGAAAGAAGTGAGGAAAAATGAAATGGGAGCTGAGCATTAGGTAACTTTTGCTGGGTGTGCTGTGAGGTAAAGGTACTGTTAGCTATATTTAAATCAACACCCAAAATTACAGGTAAAAATCATACAATTCTGGGATTTGTTTTTAAAATGTTCTAGCTTTATGAACAAGTCAAAGGCAGCAACTGAAAGCTGGATGCTGCTGAAGGTGATGGGCATGAGTGTATATGGAAAGCAGAGTAAGAGCAGAAGGATGTCCACATCCTAACCCTCAAAATCCATTACCTAACAATAGAAGGACTTACATATGTAACTAAGGTAAAGATGCTGTGACAAGAGTAGCCTGTATTGCCTGGGTGGATCCAGTATAATCAGAAGGTCATATATGTGAAGAAGGAAGAAGTAGGAAGACCAAAAATGAAATGATGGAAGCAGAAGTGGGAATTAAGAAAGGAGAAGGGTAAAGATGCTCCTTGGTGATAGAGTGCTTGCCTACCATGCCCAAAGTTCGAGACCAAATTCCCAGTTCTGCCTTCACTGTCCAAGAAAAGAAGGATTCAAGTCAAACAGTGAGACAAAATTTCTCCTGGAACATCCATGAAGAACACAGCCCTGCATCCTAGATGCTCGGTGCTGTCAGTGTCTTGCTTGGTTTGCAGAGTTTGCTTTTAGTCTTTTTCAAACAGATCTATGTAGCTCAGGCTGGCCTCAAACTCAATCCTTTAAC